AGTCTAGTCTGTTGGGGCACCATGCCCTGTCTCCAATGTCCACCCTCATCATTCCCTGGGGATCTTTCTACTCCCCTCCCCTGCTGTTTTCTTTATATACATTTCTTTCTTTATATACACATCTAAGTGTCAGTAGCTTTGCTTCTTTAGAGGACCCAGCCTGACATACTTTGGTATACATATCGCAGCTTCAGCTGAAGCGACTACTATAGCACTGTAGCCCAACTTGGATTCTGTAGAAGAGGGATCCTCCCAGTAGCAGAATTTTGAGGGTCACTAATGTACCACGATCAACTGGATCCCTTTTCCTAGAAGCTGAGGTGACCTGAGCTGGAGATCTACTCTGATTCATGAGCATGGGAAGTTGTTGAAGCCACATCATTGCTGTTGCTCTTATGTGTCACTGAGTTGGTTCTGACTGATAGAGACCCATGGACATCTGAACAAAACACTGCCCAGGCCTGTGCCATCCACACAGTTGTTCTTATATTTAAGCCCGTTGTTCAGCTACTATGCCAAACCATCTTGTTGAAGGCCTTCCTCTTTTTTGCTGCCCCTCTACTCTACCAAGCATAAGATACTTTTCCCGGGACTGGTCTCTCCTAATAATATGTCCAAAGTAGATGAGATCAAGTCTCATCATCCTTCCTTCTAGGATAAGGTGACCAGATTTTAACATTGGTAAAGTGGGACAAAAGCGGGACATCATTGATAAAACTCATATCCTGGTGAAATAGCCACATGGCAGCCGAAAACCGTATACCCTAGCTTGTCATGCAATTTTCCCCAAAATCAGGACTTTTAAAAAATGCCGCGGGACGTGGGAAAAATTGTTAAAAATCGGGACTGTCCTGCCAAAAGCGGGACGTCTGGTCACCTTATTCTAGGAGCATTCTGGCTATACTTATTTCAAGACAGAGTTGTTTGTTTTTCTGGCAGTCCATGGTACTTTCAGTCTTTTTCTCCAGCACCATCATTCAAATGCATAGTCTTCTTTGGTCTTCCTTAGTCAATGTCCAACTTTCACATGCATAAGAGAGGCTTGAAAATACCATGGCTTGGGTCAGGTGCACCTTAGTCCTCAAAGAAACATCCTTGCTTAGCAACACTTTAAAAAGGACTTGTGCCAACATGGGTGCATAAGCAAATGTGGTGAAGAGAGCTGATGGCGCCTGGCTATCAAAAGATAGAGCATCTGGGGTCTTAAAGACTTGGAGATAAGCAAGCAGCCATCTAGCTGAGAAGCAATAAAGCCCACATGGAAGAAGCATAGCAGCCTGTATGATTATGAGGTGTCGATGGGATCAGGTACCAGGCAACAAAGACCCAGAACAAAATCATTCCCAATGTGAATGGGGGTGGGAGAACATGGAGTGGAGACCCAAAGCCCATTTTAGACAATTGCACATCCCCTCACAGAGGGGTCACAAGGAAGAGATGAACCAGACAGGGGCAGTATAGCACCGATGAAACACACAACGTTCCTCTAGTTCTTTGGTGCTTCCTTCCCCCCACCATCATGACCTCAATTCTACCTTACAAATCAGATTAGACCAGAACATGCGCACTGCTACAGATAAGAGCCTGCAACACAGGGAATCCAGAATAGATAAGCCCCTCAGGGCCAACAATGAGAATAGAGATACCAGGAGGATAAAGGGAAGGTGGGGAGAGAAAGGGGGAATCAATCACAAGGATCAATCTAGAACCCCCTCCCAGGGAGATGAACAACAGGAAAGTGGGTGAAGGGTGACAGAGGACGATTTAAGATATGAAAATAATAACCTTTAACTTAGCCAAGTGTTCACCAGGGAGGGTGGGTCGGGGAGGAAGGGGGAAAATGAGGAGCTGATATCAAGGGTTCGAGTAGAAAGAAAATGCGTTGAAAATGACAATGGCAGCATATGTACAAATGTGCTTGACGCAATGGACGAATGTATGGATTTTGATGGGAGATGTAAGAGCCCCCCCCAAAAAGTATTTCATAAAAAATAATAAAATAAAAAATTTAAAGAAGGTCTTGTGCAACAGATTTACCCAATCTAATGCATTGTTTAACCCCTTGACTGCTGCCTCCATGAACATTGATTATGGACCCAAACTAGATGAAATCCTTGACAGTTTGAAGCCTTTCTCCATTTATCATGTTACCTGTTGGTCCAATTGCGAGGATTTTAATTTTTTTACATTGAGTTGTGATCCATACTGAAGGCTGAAATTCTTGATCTTTATCAGCAAATGCTTCAAGTGTAGATAAGCAGTGAAGGCCTTATCACTAGATGTTGGGAATGAATAAAACTAGGAGGCTAGATAAGAGTTATGTGGGTGGACCTCTTTGACTGGTCCATCTATGAGAATATTTGCATCCACGTGAACTCCCACCAAAGGCCTCACTGTAGAGGAGACTCTCAATAAGCAGGGAATGGGGCTTACCTGCTGTGTGAATGTCAGCTAGCCTCTTTCCTCAGCTCCTCAGCTATTGCACATATGCAAAGTGGTTTTATTGGAAGGTGATGAAGTTATGTATGGGCTCAGTTACATAAGCATCTGCTCATCGAGGCTGATCTGGATACCCCTTCTACTAATCACCCAACTGACAATCACAGAGTCCAAACCTGAGCCAACGCTAGATCCTTGGGGCTAAGGGCAGCCTGCTACATGGTGGTAGATTGTGTGTAGGAATCAGACTCAACACAATGGTGGTGATTGCGAGTCTCTGGAGGAAACAGTTGCTTTTTCTTGTTGACATAGATATTCCATTCAATCAAAATACTTAATAAGCACTTATTATCTGGGGTCTTAAAGACCCACCTCTAGGTGCTTGGAGTACATCATGGAACAAAGAGAGAAAGATTGTTACCCTTGAAAGATTTATTTTCTATATAGGGGAGATAGGCAATAAGCATATTAATAAAATTTAGTGTATGTTTAAAGTGTTAGATGCTAGAGGGGAAAAACAGCGGGATAAGGGAGATTGAGCATGTTAAAAACTAGAGAAACCAACCAAACTCCCTTCCCTTGAGTCAATTCTGTACAGTGACCTTATGTGGGGTTTGAGACTGAGTAGACACCCTTGTCTTCCACTTCTGGGTTGGAATCAACAACGTCTAGTTAGCGGCCTAAGAGAGGCAATAATGAGACAGATCAAGTGCAGCCTTGTGGAGACATAAAGATTCCGACTTTTCCTGTAAAGAAACTGCTGCAGTGATCCAAAGATGACACTACCAAAATCCAAATATGACGAAGGGAAAAGTATCAGAGTTTAAATTGTGAACACGCAGT